TGTGCTGTACTGCTGTGCTGTACTGCTGTGCTGTACTGCTGTGCTGTACTGCTGTGCTGTACTGCTGTGCTGTGTGCTGTACTGCTGTGCTGTGCTGCACTGCTGTGCTGTGCTGTGTGCTGTGCTGTGTGCTGTACTGCTGTGCTGTACTGCTGTGCACCACAAAATCTTTGCGCCAAAATAAGAATTTTCAAAACTCCCCTCCCTCCCTTCCTCCCCCTAACGCCCCTCCCTCCTTTCCTCCCCCTCCCCCTAACGTTAGGGGGAGGGGCCTTCCCTGCCTCCCCCTCCCCACGGGGAATGACAGAGGGGCAGTAGGACTGGCCGTTGAAGTGCCCCTCTGAAATACGATGCCCAACTTCCCGTGACGCGCCCCAACACCCACGGGGAGTGACCGCGACTACCCCGAGGCTGGGGAAGTGGGGGGGGGGAGTGCGTGGTCAAACAACGGACGAAACTAAGGACACTAACCTAATACAATGTAATATAATATATAATGTATAGGGATAGGAAAATATAAGGGAAACACCAATAATATGGAGATCATTAATATATGATATAACAAGTAATAAAACTTGACATTTTCTTGTGAAGTTAAGCATCTCATTTGGGTTATCCAATCAATCTTTAGACCGAAATATTATCGAGAATTTGTGTTTAATTTAAGAGATTTAAGTCAGTTGATTCACAATTTCCATGAATCAATACCTCGGCGAAGCTTCATGTCACAAATGCTAGGCCTACATCAAATTAAAAATAAACGTTTGATGTACCTATCTAACAACTGAAGGTATTTCAATTATTTAACGACGGTATAATATTTATCCACAATTTCTTTCGATTTTACGCCTCAGAGGCAAACAGCGTGCGAGTTGAATGATAATGAATAACGATTGGTAGCACTGTCAGCAGCAGCAGTCAGCACTGCCAGCAGCAACAGTCAGCACTGCCAGCAGCAACAGTCAGCACTGCCAGCAGCAACAGTCAGCACTGCCAGCAGCAACAGTCAGCACTGCCAGCAGCATCGCGAGGTAAAGTCGGCAACAACGGCCTAGATTTGCGCGTTTGCGAACGTCTCTGCGGCGAACGGCCGCAATGACTGCGAGAATTTCGAACTGGGCAGTCTTTGCTTTATTGCCCGTCTCCTAATCTAGAACTTGACTGGTGATTGCTATTACGATTGCCGTGCTGTTGGTGAGCAGCATGACAAACGCACCTCAGAGAAATGATTGTAAATTTGACCAAATACGATGCACTTTTTGCTTTGTGTGGGTCACCCTGACCCATCTCGTCCAGCCAAAACGATATCGTATATCAGTCATACGCCCGTTTTCTGCTAATGCTGTGGATGAGCAAGTGTGTAACTATTTAGACAATACGGTATGGGATTAATTTTCCCGGGTAAATGACACCCATCTGTCCCAATGACCCCTCTCTCCCCCCCCCAGGTGGTGCAGTAAGTTACTGTCTCGGCGACGTAGAAAAAATTCAAATGAGTGCTGCGAAAGAACCAGTTATGTGCCGCCGAATGTTGGGCGCGCTTTAGGCGGCCAAGCGGCGGGTCTAGAGCGGCCGCGGCTAAGTCGGTTCTGACTGAAAATAGGGTAGGAAATGGACGCGTGTGCCGGCACGGCAGTAAAGGGTTAAGAATGGGTGCAGGAGGTGCAGTAGGACTGTAGGAGGTGTAAGATGAGGTGCAGGATGAGATTAAAATGAGGTACAGGTGTAAGATAAGGTGCAGGATGAGGTGCAGGAGGTGTAGGAGGTGCAGGAGGTGCAGGATGAGGTGCAGGAGGTGCAGGAGGCAGCGATCGGCAGGCAACAAAAACTTGCCGCGGCGACTTTCTTTGCGCTTCACTGGCGACGCCGGGCGTGGCTGTGTGGCGTGGCTGTGTGGCGTGGCTGTGTGGCGTGGCTGTGTGGCGTGGCTGTGTGGCGTGGCCGTGTGGCGTGGCTGTGTGGCGTAGCTGTGTGGCGTGGCTGTGTGGCGTGGCCGTGTTGCGTGGCTGTGTGGCGTAGAGTGGCTTATGATTGTGGCGTAACTGTAACAAACATGGCGCAGTGCTCTGGACGGCAGAGTGGGCGCAGTGCTCTGGAAAGCTGCTCAGAGTCACGCAGAGCAAACCAGAGCCGCGGCAGAGCAAACACGCGCACAAAAGCTGCAGTGTAGCTAAAACGCGGTCAGGTCATCGAACTGAAAATGGGGCTCAAACGCGCGGGCTTGTAGAACCCTGCAATGAAATTCAACTTTGCAATGGCAAGGGTTCAACCTGTCAATTATGTGTACTTGAACCCTGTAATTTGGTTCAACCTTTCGAACCTGTTGAATCCTTGTATATGGGTTGAAACCTTCAACCTTGAAACCTTCGATAGGTACCCTGACGAAGGGTTCAACCCTGTAGATTAGTTGCACCTTGCAGGGTTCAACACCTTCACCCCCCTCCCCCACCTCATTCATCAATTCACGGTATAGGGAAGAATGAACGGCACCGACGCCGCGTAAAATCAACACATCACATTCAGAAAAATGAGCGAGACTATGTCTTAATAGCGATGCAATCTTTTTTCATGAAGTGAATCATCCTGCCCCGGTATTATGTGTAGAAACTGTGTATTTGGCCAACAAGACCCAAGCAGCTGTCTGAGTGTAGCAGTAGATGTCTCAACAACCCATCAGCGGGCAGCATCGGTTACTGGGAAATAATGCAAATTCTTGCGCTTGTAATGACCCATAATAGGTCGTTCAAGTGGGTTAAGCTTGGGCTTATTACCTGCAGAATATGTGAAGCTGTTTACACCGCTAGTCCGCTACTATCCCAGCATGCAATGTAAGGTTGAAACAACGTACTTCGCGACGTTGAAATAACATTGAACATTAGTCCAGAATGAAAAAGTAATCAACATCTTGCATGTCGACGTTGTTTCAACGTTAAAATCGCGTGAATTCTGTGACATTCATAAATGTTAACCTGATACATCCTTTTAAAAGTGCGCTTTTAGCGCCAGAATTCAACGCGGTTTCAACGTTGAAACAAGGCTGAAATGTACGACGTTGAAAAAATGATTTTGATTCACTTATCATTCCCGACTAACATTCAGCGTTATTTCATCGTCGCGAAGTCCGTTGATTCAACGTTGACTCAACCTGACATTGCCTGCTAGGATTAAGCATTAATAAACAATGAATTATGTGAGTCAAATGACACACTTAAACGACCTGAGGTCACTGCCACCAAACCCGCCCCAGGTGGCAAACGTGTAGGCAAATTACGTTGAAACAACTAATGCTGAATCAACGTTATTTCTACGTCATCCAAAGCAACGTTCAGGGAACGTCATTTCAAAGTTGTCAAAAACGACGTTTAGGCAACGTTATTTCAACGTTAAATCAACGTTATTGCACCGTTAGCTGCCAATTGAGATTTTTTTTCATTGACGCAGCAATTTCAATACACAGCAAACAAGGCCACACTGCGACACTCGAGCGGCCCCACCGCTGCCCACCACCCAACAGTGCATCAGAGCCCCACCGCTGCCCGCCACCCACCAGTGCATCAGAGCCCCACCGCTGCCCACCACCCACCAGTGCATCAGAGCCCCACCGCTGCCCGCCACCCACCAGTGCATCAGAGCCCCACCGCTGCCCGCCACCCACCAGTGCATCAGAGCCCCACCGCTGCCCGCCACCCACCAGTGCATCAGAGCCCCACCGCTGCCCGCCACCCACCAGTGCATCAGAGCCCCACCGCTGCCCGCCACCCACCAGTGCATCAGAGCCCCACCGCTGCCCGCCACCCACCAGTGCATCAGAGCCCCACCGCTGCCCGCCACCCACCAGTGCATCAGAGCCCCACCGCTGCCCGCCACCCACCAGTGCATCAGAGCCCCACCGCTGCCCGCCACCCACCAGTGCATCAGAGCCCCACCGCTGCCCGCCACCCACCAGTGCATCAGAGCCCCACCGCTGCCCGCCACCCACCAGTGCATCAGAGCCCCACCGCTGCCCGCCACCCACCAGTGCATCAGAGCCCCACCGCTGCCCGCCACCCACCAGTGCATCAGAGCCCCACCGCTGCCCGCCACCCACCAGTGCATCAGAGCCCCACCGCTGCCCGCCACCCACCAGTGCATCAGAGCCCCACCGCTGCCCGCCACCCACCAGTGCATCAGAGCCCCACCGCTGCCCGCCACCCACCAGTGCATCAGAGCCCCACCGCTGCCCGCCACCCACCAGTGCATCAGAGCCCCACCGCTGCCCGCCACCCACCAGTGCATCAGAGCCCCACCGCTGCCCGCCACCCACCAGTGCATCAGAGCCCCACCGCTGCCCACCACCCACCAGTGCATCAGAGCCCCACCGCTGCCCGCCACCCACCAGTGCATCAGAGCCCCACCACTGCCCACCACCCACCAGTGTGCCGCAGGACGGCGACGACCGAGGTGGTGGCGTCGTCGGTGCCGATGCAGAGGACGGCGTCGTCGTGGGGGACGGTGACCGCGTACTCACGGGGCCGCAGGTACAGCAGCCCGCGGCTCCCCACGGTCTCCGTGGGGATGTTGGTGAGCGCGTGCCCCGTGTCCTTGAGACGTGCCCACGTGCTGTACACGCCCGTGATGCTCGAGGGCACCTCCTTCACCAGCTGCTCCCCCACCGCCAGCACCATCGCGGGCTGCGGGGGGACAAGAGATGGATTAGTGAATATTGGGGGACAAGAAGGAGAGTTAGTGAATCTGTGGGGGACAATAGGGGGGGTTAGTGAATCTGTGGGGGACAAGAGGGGGGGTACGCTCTACTTAAATATAATTCGTATTCAGAGTATCAGGACGCTCTACTTAAATATAATTCGTATTCAGAGTATCGGGTGAGAAGGCATGCACCGCTGCGCTGACGCTATACGACTCAACCTACACTCAGAGGAGTGAGTGGAACTTTATCCTAAACAGCTACGTATGCACTTTTTGGCCTTCTTGTGGGTCATTTTGTCGCAGTTAGGCAAGCAAAAGGTCGTATCATTGCAAAGTTCAGGAAGTGTGTCAATATTTGGATGATCTGATCAGTGTGAACTTCTGAGGTTAAACTGAACCACCCACACAAAAGCTATTATCATTGTATAATAATCAAATCGTAATCACGGTTCAGAAAAAAAATAATAAAATCGTAATCACGGTCCAGAAAAAATAATCAAATCGTAATCACGGTTCATAAAACTAATCACATCGTAATCACGATTAATAAAAAATAATCAAATCGTAATCACGGTTCAGAAGAAATAGATCGTAATCTTTGTTCAGAATAAATAGATATCTTGTTTCAGAAGAAATAGTTCGTAATCACGGTTCAGGAGAAATAGATTGTAATCAGGTTTCAAAAGAAATAGTCGAATCATGGTTTTAAAAAATCCAATCATAAAAATAGCTAAGTAAAAATAACAGTTAAAAGGAACACATTTTTCAATACGCTCATCATTCAGACTCTTGACGAAGGATTAAACAATAACAATTATTCTTGTCGATAATAAACTTTCCACACCATCCCTTTTTGCATCAATCACTATGTGCAGGCAATTTAATTACAAGCTGCCAATTATGAAGAAACATTAAATTCAATCTACCTATTTGACTTATTTGAGTAGGTAATAAAATGTTATAACAAAACCACCGATAAAATTATGCCAAATCCCATCGTCACTGCGCTAATGAATCGAGCATAAAACACCATCATCATATGAAGTCGCCAACATATTGAATGATTCAATGCTCAATCCCCCACTTCTCCTTCTCAGTCACATCTTAATCAGGGTAAAATGTCCTCCAATTATAGTCCACACACACTCATATCCTGTTTCAAGTATAAATAGAAGAAGCAAATATCACTTACCTATATGCTATAGACCAAGCGCGCGGGTAAAGCGAAGCTGAAACGATCGTGATTAGCCGTCAACGACGTCTTGATTTGCACGTTACGCCTTCAGTGTCAACTTAGTCCAAGTCTAGTCATGCTTTGCACTCATGCTTTGCACTTTAGCAACACACTAAAATTACACTTCTTCTCCGAACGCTTGTTATTCTTTGCTAGTCTATTACGAGCTTAATATATTCACTTTTATTTAAAACACCAGTTTTTTAATCTCATCGTACTTTGCGTATAAAATTAACTAAACACCATTCAAACACTGGCAAATATAGCGACAGTAGCTAGTCGCAGAAATCAATCCAAATGCACAAACAAGGTCAAGTTTTGGAGCAAAATCATGAAGCTAAAGTCGCAGGAGAAATTCTTTTAGTGGACATCCAGTGCAAGAGCAAGACTGGAACTATCGAGAACTATGCCCCTGGCGCTGCTGATCTAATTATTGAGAGTGCAGGGCTTCGAGTGAGAGGACTAAATCTGTAGCAGACGACTGAGCTCGCCAGACCAAATCTCAAGCAGACGACGAACGCACACGCACGTCCGTACCCGGGCATCCACTCAGCTAAACTGAAGCTGTAGAATTGTGGAGCAAGAATCTCAACGGTAGTTACTGTCATCTCGAGTTCTACGAAACTACCTGGTCGCATTTCGAAATTTTAAACATCACAAATACATGAAATTAATAATTCTTGAGGACAGATGACCTTAAAAAGGTGTAGGTGTGAGTTTAATGGCCCAATGGAGCTACGATAGAGACTGCTCTAGATGCCACTACGGGGTACCGCCGCGCAAAAAGAGCACCAGAAAACAACCACCAAACGCCCCTCTGGCTCCGCCCTCCAGGCTTCTATTCTGCTTCTGCTGCGCTGCTCGAACCTAACCTTTCCAGCCGCCTTGCCATTTCCAATGCCACTTTGCAGCCCTGCATGGAACACTCTCAGTACAGGGGAAGTAACCTCAGCTCCAGTCATTGCCCATTGCTGGAATACAACTGACAGATGAGATACCCTTGCTGTACTCAGTAGAATAAATGCATAGCATGCCATAAGTCAGGGTGCAAGACAAGTAACGTCAGTCCTCAAGTTGACACATTGCTCGAACACGATATCAACTAACTGCAACGAGAAGCACAAGTAGAAAGAACTATCAAATAACCGTGAATTGTATAAAATACGAAATGAAAATAGAAACAAGTCTCAGTTCATTAGCAAGTACATTGATGAAACAAGATGTCAACAGGCAGTTGAAATATCAACTGAACGATCTGGATGAATTGAATCATCTTGAATCAAATAAAGTCATATTAACATGACGCTCTCGAGGCGCGCGATCGAATTGTTGGCTCGACTTCCGCCTTCTTGAAACGCTTCTTGGCATCCAGTGGCTGGGCATCCAGTGGCCATGCATCCAGTGGCTGGGCATCCAGTGGCTGGGTATCCAGTGGCCATGCATCCAGTGTCTGCGCATCCAGTGGCTGGGCATCCAGTGGCTGGGCATCCAGTGGCTGGGCATCCAGTGACTCGGCATCCAGTGGCTGGGCATCCAGTGGCCATGCATCCAGTGGCTGGGCATCCAGTGACTCGGCATCCAGTGGCTCGGCATCCAGTGGCTCGGCATCCAGTGGCTGGGCATCCAGTGGCTGGGCATCCAGTGGCCATGCATCCAGTGGCTGGGCATCCAGTGTCTAGGTATCCAGTGGCTGGGCATACACTGTCTGAGTATCCAGTGTCTAGGCATCCAGTGGCTGGGCATCCACTGTCTGAGTATCCAGTGGCTGGGCATATGAGTGGCGAACGTATAGGATTTTTGCATCTCCCAACGGCCACGTTATCCCTACTATCCACGCTTGCAGCAGGTGCTTGTTGCAGCAGGTGCTTGTTGCAGCAGGTGCTTGTTGCAGCAGGTGCTTGTTGCAGCAGGTGCTTATTGCAGCAGGTGCTTGTTGCAGCAGGTGCTTGTTGCAGCAGGTGCTTGTTTCAGCAGGTGCTTGTTGCAGCAGGTGCCAACGACATGTTATTCCTACGAGAAGATCAGCTGCAGCGACGAGTTGCCTGCGAGTTTCCAAGAACCGCATGCGGAAAAAATCATGTTTGGACGACCAGGAAGTGAAAAAAACCTAATATAGAATTCGTATCAAAGAAAAGAATCAGTCAATAACGTGCGAGATTATTAGCTTCTATTAATAAGTATCATAGTGAATAGTATTTTTTAGTACGAGTATAACTATACAGTATAAAGATGGGTATTAAATTAATTTGCCAATCCGATTTTGCCGTCATAAGAGTTGGTGGGTTGTGATCTCACTGCATTTGTCCATTCAAGAGAGTGTGTTATTTATTTATATAAATTTCATCATTTCTTCTTGCAAAGTTTAACAACACTAATTTGATTCATAAAATAAATTGACAAGCACTTGCAAGAAATATATGCAACCAAAGGCACTTGCTGCAACGAACTTCTTCGCAAGCGTGTTGAATATAGCACAATGCACGCGTGTTGATACAGACGTAACTCAAGCGTGTTGAATATAGCACAATGCACGCGTGTTGACACAAACGTTATTCAAGCGTGTTGAATATAGTACAATGCACGCGTGTTGACACAAACGTTATTCAAGCGTGTTGAGTATAGCACAGTGCACGCGTGTTGACGAATAACGCTCAGGGTCATTTGACTCTTATAGTTTTTGTCAAGGAACTCTCCCAAAAGGTTAGCGGCTGAGTACAGTATATAGGCGGCTGAGTACAGTATATAGGCGGCTGAGTACAGTATATAGGCGGCTGAGTACAGTATATAGGTGGCTGAGTACAGTATATAGGTGGCTGAGTACAGTATATAGGTGGCTGAGTACAGTATATAGGTGGCTGAGTACAGTATATAGGCAGCTGAGTACAGTATTTAGGCGGCTGAGTACAGTATTTAGGCGGCTGAGTACAGTATTTAGGCGGCTGAGTACTAGCCGAATTCAAGTAGCTCTGCGTCATCTAAAAGTCAAAGAAATGTTATCATCCTCCAACTCATTTCCATACTTGTTAAATTCATGTGTTGTTTTCGAAGGTATTTTTGCCGTCGGTATTTGATTTTTATTTTCCACTATTTCAGGTATCATTTTCGTATCGATGAGGACAATAAATAGTGAAAATGAGAGCCTTTGTTCTTTATTAAGTTGTGAAGAAAGCCAAATAAACTTCGTTTTTCCTACAACAATCAATCATGTAGCAATATCGCGGCGTGATATTTTTTTCCATGATGTTTTGGAAATCAAAGCATTAATTTGCATTGAAATCGGATTATTTGACTGAATAAAGTCGAATTTTTCTTTAAATCGCGATGGTGAAGGAAACCAGCGGTGAGTTCAGCGGGCAGAAGCAGTCAGAGGTAGCGGCCTCTGACGCTGCAGTAGCTCAGCGGGGACGTGGACAAGACGATGCAGATCTTCCCCGTGGGGATTTGTGTCACGTTCATTTCAACGTGTAAAAATAGTATCAATATATCGTTGACCGAGGAGCTCGAGATAGTAACTTTAAACTGTAGAGTAAATATAATGTTAAATGTGTATCGTAGCATGTAAATTATCGACTTGTCTGCTAATTCTGGAAAATTCAAGTCCGGCAGCACCCACGCAGTCCATGCGCGCGCAGTTGAAGTTGGGATCGGCAACGAGAGAAGCTCTGCCAAATTATTTCCGTGTTTATAAGTGTTAAATGTGAAATATGTGCATTTACTGGATGATTGAGTTTTTTATGAGTGAGAAAAAACTGTTTGTGGGAATAGCAGTGATTATTTTCATTTCTGAACTGTTATGTGAAGTTGTATGTCACTTAGTCCGCATGGGCGCCTCTAAGCCAGTGGCATGCCACAGAATGTCTGTTATATTTAAACTTGTTCAATCCATTAATTTGATTTGAATCAACTAAGAAATCCAACTCACAGCGATAATTGTCGTAAACTAGATCTAGTAGTTTCTGTTCTGCCCTAAAAAATAGAAATCTTGTGGAGAATGCTTTGTAATGGCTTGTGCTACAGATGATCATTTAATCATTGCAAATTGATTTGGCTTCTTTTTTAAGCTAATGCGTGTCAAGTGTGCCTTGGTTGTATGGAAATATCGTCGATTTGAGAATGAATGGGATTGTCAGAAAAGCTGCTGTGCTGTGAAGTTAAATGGTTTATAGTTCCAGTCTAAATACTTTATTCCATATTTGCAGGTATCGTACGGTACTTGTAGGCTGTCTCTTATACACATCTAGATGTGTATAAGAGACAGCCTTTGGTCTACCCGCACCTATGATTTTCCCAGGAAAATCGTTGAGCTGACGACAGAAGATCCTCAAGTAACCCTGGCTCGAATCGCATTGGAACGCGCCCTACTTGAGGCGGAACGTAGAAAAATGGATATCGCTCGCTCGCAACTCGACATCGATATGACTAGAGCCCAGGCCCTCAGAGACTCAGAACAGCCCAGCATTGGATGCACTTCATCTCAACCTGTTCGTTCTCAAAAGGGAGAGCGGTTTGTTACAGAAGGCTGTGCACGGAGCGATCGTGCAAGCCAGTTCGGGGGAATAGCAGTCAGTCTGGCTTCCTCCTTCACTATCAGACATGCTCCCGGAGCATCGAAGTGCGCCAAGTCTCCCAATTTCGGTGCAATTAACGCCACCCAGACACCAGTCAGGAAAGCCTCCTCGAGATTAATGTTGATTTCCGAATTGGAGCACTCCTCCAAGAAGACCGACGACCGTCACTCGTCATATGCGGAAGCGTCAAACACAGCGACTCATTCCGAGGGCACGGTAGCAGTCACAAGTTCACCTGCGTCGACCGTGCTTGAGAACCCGAGCAGAGTTGTCTATCATCGTGGTCCCAGAGCGGTCTCGCCGACATCGGCTCCCCAGCAGAGCGCGGCGTCAGTCTCGACGACATCGGCTCCCCAGCAGAGCGCGGTGTCAGTCTCGACGACATCGGCTCCCCAGCAGATCGCGGCGTCAGTCTCGACGACATCGGCTTCCCAGCAGAGCGCGGCGTCAGTCTCGACGACATCGGCTCCCCAGCAGAGCGCGGCGTCAGTCTCGACGACATCGGCTCCCCAGCAGAGCGCGGCGTCAGTCTCGACAACATCGGCTCCCCAGCAGAGCGCGGCGTTAGTCTCACATACATCGGACACTCAGCGGAGTCATGTGATAGCATTGCCTACATCTGCTTCCGCACGGAGCGCGGCGACAGCACCCCCAGAATTGGATCCAACCCAGAAATCAGTGAAGGTCGTTAGAGTCACCCGCTCTCGAGACGCGGCGGACACGTTGACAGCAAAATCTCAAATGGATCTGCATGGAACAACTTCTCAGTCCCTTCGATGGGAGTTTGTCGACCCAGGCGGTGGAGCGCGGCAAGCTTCTCGCGTCGAACCCGGTCGTCAAGAAGCGAGGGCAACACGTATGACGTCGCCGCCTCAGAAGACGTGGCGGAGCGGTGAATCTCACTCGTCTACACTATCGAAGGGATCTTGCTTTCAAATCGATGTCCCAAGAGTTTTGAGTTACGTGACTTTGCCAATTTGATGGTCTTGAGTGTTAGATTCAATGTATTCTCTGGCTTAAAGTTAAATGCCAATTGTGAAAGTTTGATGGTAGTGAGTGTCAGATTCAATGTACGTATCCACTAGTGTAAAATTCAATTGTCAATTTATGGTATCAGTTTTCTATAGTTTGCTTGCAAAGAGTGCCATAATTAAATTTCACTGGTTACAGTTCGCATACAAATCTCGCGGCCCTGAGCGCCAAAAGTTTGCTATTAATGTATTCGTGTATTGAGGAATCATGTACCAACGTAAATGTGTATTCATGTATTAAGCATAGTGATGTCTTTCTTGTTGGCCAATAGCGCCAAAATTTTCTTCTTTTGTTTCGGCCACTAGTGCCAGTTGACATAACGAGGGTAGTTGTTTGACGTAGCGAAGGCGACACCAGATTGCCAGAACGGAACGTAAACCAAAACGATTTCTGAAAAATAAAAGTTGACTTCCCATGCAGTCAACCGGGGCGGAGTGTCACGTTCATTTCAACGTGTAAAAATAGTATCAATATATCGTTGACCGAGGAGCTCGAGATNTCATTATATGATCTCGGTTTCTTGTATGTTCACACTCTTATAGAATCCTGTACGTGCAGGTTTCGACGCCGAAATATAAGGAAACAAGGATCAAGTCCACCGACTTATTACCCCCTTATTAACTCGTGCGTCACAAAGCTCCCGGACTAACATAACTACTCTGAGAGCGGAATAGTCGAAACGTGAGTCACCGGACTAGAAAATGATGTCAACGTCGGACCCAGGAAGGAAGAGAGCGGGCTTCCCGCTGCCACAGCTAGATGACAGTTCTGAAACTCTTGCCACAGAAATGAAAGGTCTTCTGCGCTCCATAAAGCCTGAGTTCATCAGTACTGCCAGAGAGACAATTGCAGCTATGAAAGTGCTTTCCTCACAACATCAGTTGCTTGTGGAGGCTGGCGCAGCGTTCACCGCAGCTGCGGAGAAGATCGGCTCCGGAGCCGAGGCTTCTCTATGTCGCAATCGAACTGATAGACTTCTAGCGAGAGAAAATATCTTGCAGGTTTCCTTGGACCAGAAACTATGCTATTTGGTAGACCGCGCCTCTCCGATGCACGCTGCTTCGGCAGAGGGACGCCTTCGGTCTACCCGCACCTGAGATTTTCCCAGGAAAATCGTTGAGCTGACGACAGAAGATCCTCAAGTAACCCTGGCTCGCATCGCATTGGAACGCGCCCTACTTGAGGCGGAACGTAGAAAAATGGATATCGCTCGCTCGCAACTCGACATCGATATGACTAGAGCCCAGGCCCGCAGAGACTCGGAACAGCCCAGCATTGGATGCACTTTATCTCAACCTGTTCGTTCTCAAAAGGGAGAGCGGTTTGTTACAGAAGGCTGTGCACGGAGCGATCGTGCAAGCCAGTTCGGGGGACTAGCAGTCAGTCTGGCTTCCTCCTTCACTATCAGACATGCTCCCGGAGCATCGAAGTGCACCAAGCCTCCCAATTTCGGTGCAATTAACGCCGCCCAGACACCAGTCAGGAAAGCCTCCTCGAGATTAATGTTGATTTCCGAATTGGAGCACTCCTCCAAGAAGACCGACGACCGTCACTCGTCATATGCCGAAGCGTCAAGCACAGTGGTTCAGCCTGTGGGCATGAGCGCGGTCACTCCTTTATCAGCGCCGCATACTGCAGAAGCGTCAAGCACAGCGGCTCGTTCCGAGGGCACGGTAGCAGTCACAAGTTCACCTGCGTCGACCGTGCTTGAGACCCCGAGCAGAGTTGTCTATCATCGTGGTCCCAGAGCGGTCTCGCCGACATCGGCTCCCCAGCAGATCGCGGCGTCAGTCTCGACGACATCGGCTTCCCAGCAGAGCGCGGCGTCAGTCTCGACGACATCGGCTCCCCAGCACAGCGCGGCGTCAGTCTCGACAACATCGGCTCCCCAGCAGAGCGCGGCGTTAGTCTCACATACATCGGACACTCAGCGGAGTCATGTTATAGCATTGCCTATATCTGCTTCCGCACGGAGCGCGGCGACAGCACCTCCAGAATTGGATCCAACCCAGAAATCAGTGAAGGTCGTTAGAGTCACCCGCTTTCGAGACGCGGCGGACACGTTGACAGCAAAATCTCAAATGGATCTGCATGGAACAATTTCTCAGTCCCTTCGATGGGAGTTTGTCGACCCAGGCGGTGGAGCGCGGCAAGCTTCTCGCGTCGAACCCGGTCGTCAAGAAGCGAGGGCAACACGTATGACGTCGCCGCCTCAGAAGACGTGACGGAGCGGTGAATCTCACTCGTCTACACTATCGAAGATATCTTGCTTTCAAATCGATGTCCCAAGAGTGTTGAGTTACGTGACTTTGCCAATTTGATGGTCTTGAGTGTTAGATTCAATGTATTATCTGGCGTAAAGTTCAATGCCAATTGTGAAAGTTTGATGGTAGTGAGTGTCAGATTCAATGTACGTATTCACTAGTGTAAAATTCAATTGTCAATTTATGGTATCAGTATTCTATAGTTTGCTTGCAAAGAGTGCCATAATTAAATTTCACTGATTACAGTTCGCATACAAATCTCGCGGCCCTGAGCGCCAAAAGTGTACTATTAATGTATTCGTGTATTGAGGAATCATGTATCAATGTAAATGTGTATTCATGTATTAAGCATNTGGTGGGAGGATGTGGGATTTCATTTGTTTGTATTTTGGAGTTTGTGCGGTCTAAATTATGTTAGATATTTTGGTAGCTCAATATTTATTTGTGAGTTCTAAAATTTTCGAGTATAGCGCGTTTCGTAGCCAGTTTACCGCCCGTAGCTCTTATTTCCAGTCGAAATCTATTTTCACGGTGGCAAAATTTTAACGTTGCAAGTGACATTAATAAACTCGATGGTCAACTTTTGGGAGGCTTGAAATTTTGAGTGAAATAAAGTAAATAATTAGTGTAAATCAGCTTTGTATCATTGACGACTGACTAATTATTATAACAAGATCTTTTGGAGTCAGATCAAAGCAGAAGAGTTAAACTCGTTGTGAACACCGGAATTGCGAACTGAGGTCGGGTAGATCCTGCATAGCAATCCAAGATTCAACAGGTAGTATGTATGGCTCCCCAGCAAGATGAGCATCACTTGCACCTGCTGCTCCAAGCAGACATGCATAATGCTCTGCAATTATATTAGCTTTATGGGTTGGGTCTGTTATGAAACATTTGTGCTGCAGAAGGGGAGCGGCTCGAAATGCCGCTTGTTTATTGGAAAGTTTGCCAATTTGCCTCCACACCTTGGCCACTTGTGTATAGCTGTTGATTCCGGAGACAAATATTTCTAATTATTCTCTTTTTGCCTCCTTAATTTCCCGCTTCATTTAGGCCTCTGCTCGCTCCAACGCAATAAGGTTAGGCATGGAGGGGCATGAACAGATTTCATTTGTAATCCGCACTCGAAGGGGAAAGGTTGTAGAAACTATCTGGACTTTCGTGATAAGGAATATATTTGAACGATGAAATATATAAAGGATAAATGATGAAATTCATTATTTTCTTACACATTAGGCCTATAACGAAAACTATGCGAATGGGGTCAAAGATGACATTGAAATACAGTTGATTGTGGCTAATTTTATTTCGTTTATCCATAAAGTAAATCAGAATGTAGGCTGGTACGAGCCAAAATTGCATCGTTTCGCACTGATTTCTCTTATTGTTTGGTGATTATATTTTGAGTATAGTTTGAAGCATGTAAATAATAATGGATTAGTACATGTTAATGAAACACTAATCCATGTAAAGAGTGCATTTCAAAAATATGAGGCTAACAAGGTGCAAAGTGGGCGTTGATCACACATTGAGGCGCGCATTATTTACGCAAAGTTTTTTTTGGTAATTTTTGTGCAATAACGTACTTGAAACTGAACAGAAGACAATCGGAGAAATGTTAAATAATTAATGTAACATGTTCTCATTCCCGAGGACTTGAAAAATTAAAAATTTCTCTCATGTCCTATCCTATATAATAATTACAAATGAAAATATCATAATATATAAAACTCTTTAGTAATAAATGTAAATATCATCATTTGGAGTTTTATAAACAGTGCATTAACTCATTTTTCGGCAGATAAACATTTTCTTTTTTTGTGTGTGTGAATATTTCTAGTTCCGTTGCAACAGGACTGGTTAAAGGAGTCACGCGACTGAAGTTCATCGTAAGACTAAATAAATACTGTTAATTTTTATAAATCGCAGCAGTGATATATAGGGCAAATTAAATTACTTCCGCTTTTCTAAAAGCTCGTCGGTGAAATTCAATTAAAGCAGTGAAAAAGGTGTTGCCTGAGAAAGACTATCGACGAGTGCAGTTTTTCGAGGTTCTTCTTCATTTTATAATATTAGTTTAATGATCTTTATATTAGTATAAGGATTAGTATAATGATAATATTAGTATAATGCTCCAGCAGCTATCTCAATCAACCGTCAGTTATGGAAAGATCGGGTTCCAAAGGCCGGATCCCTTGTGAATCAAGTCACCCTAAGTTCAAGAATCGGCAACAGGCCATGGGCCTATTTCTTCAATGCTCACACTTATATTCTATTCCATTTTATCTAATACTCTGAGTAATGATCTAATACACAGCCGTCACCATGCAGATTGATAAATGTTCTGATAAATGTTCATGTCATTATTATTTTAACATGGGGATGTTATAACTGTGTTAAAATTCGACTACAGTCAATTCCACGTAAACAGGCCTTATGTCGCCAGCCTTCAAAAAAAATCTATTTTGTTAACAAAACCGAGCCCCAGATTTTTAGCGCGATCGAAAATGCTTTTTAGTTTTTATGTGGCAATCGGAGCCAAAAATCTTAATTCTGATCAAAATTATAAGGTTCTTATTGATTAACTACGAGTTGAGTGCAGTAGCTGCCGAGTGGCGCCTTATGGGGCATTGACGACAGCTAGTGTTGTTCGAACTAAAAATTCAGATTCTTCGGTGGCAGAAGGACGGAGCCTTGTTGGTGGCGCAGTTGACGTTGGCAAGATGGTAGAGCGTGCCAGTGTTGGGAGCATACCACATGGCGGCGCATTTTTTTGTTGTATCGTTTAGCGGATTTGTAGGTCCCCAGTAGCTTGATCCAGTAGCATTTGGAATCACTTGGCCGTTGTCGAACTTCCATTCAGTACCAACCATTGTCATGCTCGTCCATATTGATTTGGTCAAAGCTGCAGTACAATCGGACATTAGTTTTAAGAATAATCCATAAATTCAGGCTCGACTGAAATCAGGATTTATTCAATTCTCTCCACTGATCGTATAGAGTCAGTAAACATGTTGCTACCCGTGATAGGAACTTATCGACAATTATTTTATTACGATTTGCAAAGAAACCATATAATCAAAATTTGGTTGCGCCAAAATTTTTTTACTAAAATTACAGGCGCGTATGGGAGTCAATCGAAAAAATTCGGACTCGTACCACAAATTGCGGCTCAATCAATTAGAAATTTTGAGGTGTTCCTGAAATGGTCTCGGAATACTCATGCA